AACAACAACTATCAATTAATCCTATATATTATATTAGGAAGTAACACATTCTTTATCACGTATTAATCTGACTGTGTAGTGTCATGGCGTGATATTTTGCATAAAAAAATATATTCATTAAAATCATTTAGTGAATCACAAAAATAAATTTTAAGCTATCAAAGCAAAAACTATTTTTCCCATTCCTCGAAAACAAAATTTATGATAAATTTTCCTTAATTTTTTTTATGCTAGTTTATTCTTGATATAAAAGACACTACACAGAAAGCAATTCGTAAATTTCAATTAATGTAAGTAAAACACAGTCAAGCGGAACTGTACCTCAGTTTAGCACACTTTCTTCGAGGACAAGAATTATTCACTCTGTGTTTACATACATGTACTGAGTCACTATTCTCAATTCAAATCTCAGTTTTTGAAACACTGGGACTACATATCAGTATCTGCAATCCCTTGGATTTCATTGATATAATTTGTATACATTAATGGCATGTTTTTATTATATCCGCGGAAATGTTAAGTAAAGAATATAGACGTTACCATTATGTACAATGAAAAGTAAAGAAAAATATCAAATAATATTTCGAGATAACAAATTTAAAACGCACTGACAATTGCATGTTTAACAAAACATTTGGCAATAATATGGGGTTTTAAGGGTTTGTATCTGTTCATCATAAGTAATGCAGCAATATTCCGAAAAATAAATTCTCCTTTCTTTTCCGTAAGCGATGCCAAGGATTCCTGAAAACGATGTAAGTACGCATTTCCATTGCTCTAGCTGGCAAAATAAAGGAGATGGAGAGTTGCAGATGCAAATAGGCACTATACATCACGACTCAAGAGGCTCTTACGTATCATTAGCATGAATGACAGTCCTTGGACCGGAAGTCCAAGGGTTACTACACTGCGCTAGGCTAGAGAAAATTCGACCTTATCATCTGAAAAACGGGCATTTAAAAATGGCAAAGAATATTTCTTTCGCTCAGGTCTCGAGATAGATAAACCTACTGCATCGTAGAAATCAAGCTGCAATTGTTGTGCATGGCAGTCTTGCACGATGTAATTTACTGGCCGGGGCGAGGGTGTTTTAACAGTCATGTGTTACTTTCTAGTTAAAAGATAATCATTTAACATTTTTATCAAATCTCTGATGTTTTTAAATCGTGTTTTACTTAACTGTATTTATTTTTGAAAATCATTGGATAAAGAATTCAAATATTTGTAGTTTACTGCTTGTTGCGTTTCTTTTGCGTTTCAGTATAATTTCATATTATACATTAGAAATCCCTCAAAGTGTAGTCCAAATTACATTATTTAAATCATATACGATACCAATTTTAATGCACCAGATGTGCATTTCGACAAATTATGTCTCTTCAGTGATGCTCAAACTTTGGAAATCCGAAATATTATTATAAAAAGAAAAAAAACTTTGAAGAGCTGAAAGGGATGACAAAGACTGGAGCCAAATGCATCGAAGGATCAGAGTTACGCATGAGGGAGATAATCCTTAATTTTGAAATAAATTTCTGAATTTTATGACAGCAATTAAATATATATCCATATTTTCAAGCTAGTACCGAAATACTTAGCTACTGGGCTGTAGAGACCCTCGGGGACTAATAGTCCACCAGCAGAGGCCTCGATCCAGGGATCTTAATGTGAATCATATACGGTACCAATTTTGATGCACCATTATTTACAGTGATTAATCATCATAGGTGAATAAGCAAAGGAGATTATCTTATCTCAAAGTTGAATAAAGCTTACCATACATGGTAAATAAAGCCCAGTCCTAATTCCAGAATACCTGACTCAGGGCCAAGAATTTCAGAATTCTTGGTCATAATAACCATCCTATCAAGTTTTCTGCTACATGTAAGTATACAGGTTGGGGGGGGGGGGGGGGTTGGGGGTTAGAGAATTTTCGTACTTTCAATAAATGATCAACAGAATCAAATCCCTTATACCAGAACGCCTGACAAAAAGGGCAACAAATCTCAGTTTTGTAAGAGGCTCCTTTGCACATTATACCCATGCGCTTAGTTTATCTGCTGAATATATAGGAGGAGAGAAGAAAATATCTAATGAATTTTTCACTTTTACTATATCATTAATAGAGCCCCGCCCTAACAAAATCTTCTAACCCACGGGTTTTCAATTTCACAATTTTGAAAGTGGCACCCTTGCTCATTATAACCATATACTTAGTTTGATTGCTACATGTAACTATACAGGAAGAGATATTTTTAAAGAATTTATGCATTTTCAATAAATGATCAATAAAACCCCGCCCTTACACTAGAATCCCTGACCCAGGGGCCATGAATTTCATAATTTGGGTAGAGGAATTACTGATAATTATTTATGCTAACAGTTTGAGTGCTCGATGTTCAGGAGTACAGAAGAATATTTTTGAGTACTGCATTATTTTTTATTCAATCCCCAGGGAGACAGACACCGTGAAATTCACAATTCTGGTTCCCCTTTACCCATATTTCAAAAGATATAAGAACTGGTTGAGCCGTTCAAGAGAAGTTCAAAAGAGAAGTTGAAAATGTTCAAAAGTTTACGACCGGCGCACGACGACGGATGAGAACGGATAGCAATAGTTCACCTGAATGACTCGGGTGTCCAAAAATATAAAAGTTCCTAAGCAATTGGTTTACAAGTGGTATCAAAGATTTAAAACTGAACTGCTAGAAAACATACAACGCGGGCGACCGACATTTTCTTAGGGCCGTTAGACAAGTCATCGACGTTGACCTTCGGGAAACTGAAAAGAGAAATAGGGGATCCGAATCGTCCGGATTAGGGCCACTACCAAGAGAATTTTGTCGGAGAGATAGGAGTGATATAAACTCGATATGATGACATTTAGGGAGTTTAAATTAAGTTTGGTTTCAAGAATTTGTTTATATCTCCATCAAAAAAAAAAAAAAAAAAAAAAAAAAAAAAAAAAACATCGTGCATGCTGGAGAAAATCTGCAACGTAGCAGAACAATATGACACATTGACGCTAAATTCATTGCGCCGGGTGACCAAACGATACATAACCTTTTCCTTCGTTATATCATTTGATGAGATAGTGGATTGATTATTGATTGTGTGTTGTTTTACTTCCCATTCGAGAATTCTTCACTCATAGAGACGTCACCATATACCAGTGAAGGGCTTCAAATTTAAACCAACTCTCGGCACCTAAGGCCATTGAGCAGTGAGAGTTCTTTATCGTGCCAACGTCTACCGTGATATGGGACCTAGGTTTTTAAGGTCTGATCCCAAGGTCTTATCTGAAAGACCCGTGACTTTCAATTCTAGTGCCAGGCGCTTGGTGAAGAAACAGTCACTACCTATGTTTACGTCTTAGCTAGGTTTTACGCGACGTGGCGAACGAGAATCGAACCCGGCTTCCCGATCACATAGTGAATGCAATACCACTAGGCTACCATGACCGGTAATATTGGACTGAAATATATACTCAAACGTTATTAATATAGAATAAGTGAAAAATTTAGGAGAATGCATTCATTATAGTTATTTGCAAAGACTATACGATTTAAAGGAACAACAACTTGCTGGACGACAACGCGTTTGCGTCGATCTCATAAAATATGGCTGATTCTCCTATTCCTTGTATTACTCCAAGGGATGTGGTCTTCAGATCATGCTTTTCTGAAATTTTATTTTTATTATTTATTTATTTTTTTGGTCATGAGTTCTAAGGTTTTAAATTTTGCTTTTTTTTTGCCATAACTTTAGCGAAGAAGGATATACAACTATATTATCGTCGCTGGCCAAGTGTCCAATTCGTACCCTCTCAACTTCGAATCGAACTCTTGGCTAGCGAAGACGCAACTTTACGCCAATTATCATGAGAAGATAGTAGATACAAAATAAGAATTGTTTTTAAACGCAACTTAAACTTCCAAGAATATACCTTTCATTGTAGCTTTTTCCCGTCTGTTATTTAACCTCGTTTCTCAAGAAAATAAGCTCATTTTCCAAAATTTAGAATAAAATTCACGAATTTGCAGTTACAATTTCTGCAAGTCAACGATAATTCATTAGTGTTGATCACGCATACAAGGAATTGGAGTTCATTAATCAAATGACATTACGCAATCACTCCAAATTCACTCGAAGGTCGGATGACTAGTATCGGGATGGCACCCTTCAGAAAGAAAAGAAATTTGAACAAGATTTGTATTTATGAAGATGATGAAGTTCTTCAACATTTGATGCAACTGAAGATTAGATCTTGGCAATCAACTTCTACTAAATGGAAGTTTCTACATTGTAAACATGGTAAACTATAAAAGTTATGACCAAATGTTATGATATTATCGTAAAGGAGAAACTTCATGATTCCAATGTTTAAGTGGTCCTAACTCCTGGAAACACATAACTTCTGATAAGAAACCCAGTGTTCATGTTGCAACAAAACAATAGACTTATCCTGAAAATCCCTCAACTGGCATTTTAATACAGAAGGTTCATGGGCACCGACAATCACCTGTGTAGCATCAGCAACATTTTCTCCAAGATCTAATTAAGCCACTTCTATGGATATAATAATTAACCCCTCAAGATGCTCTGCTACACTACTGAGTTCTGATGCTATTTTTGAAAGTATTAGTTGTTATTCCTTTTTAGTCCTTAATAAATAATTTAATGATCATCAAAACAACACCACTTTAATTAAACTGGAATCAATGCAATACAAAAATATAAAAAAAATTCTGCTATCAAAATAACAAATATTGTTCAATTCCTATGAGGAAAAGAATTTGTAATTACAGTTTGCATTTACCAATTTCTAGTATTCCAACATACTAATAATTCTATTTTCATTTAAGAATAACATTTTTGATAATAAAAATGTTCAATCAAACCTCTACCTAAAAATATGGCATTAACATTGACATTAGTTATTTTACACTTGAACAAAAGAGTACCAAATACATGTAATAAGTGCCCCCCCCCCCCCCCCCCAACTTCAAAGCTATACCAAATGTAATTATTTCCAGATCAATTTTTAGTGATGTGCAAAAGTACAAAATTTCATTATGAAGTTATAATAGATGAAAAAGGAAACCAGCAATTCAAACTAAAATATATTGACCTTACCACAGAATGATATTAAATGTGAATACTGACTTGATATTTTTATATGTGAAATATGCTGTGAAATATATACAAGTATACTTGTATGATATACAATTCATATTAAAGGTTAAAAAAGAGGCTCATGAGCCACAATGCTCACCTGAGTCACTTTGGCCAATCAGATTTTTTTTTCTAAAGTCCCTCTTTATTCTCATATTTTGACTTTATGATGTGGACCAAAATCTAGACATTAGGCTCTATTTGAAATTAAATTAACACAACATTGTTTTGATTTAATATCAATGTAATCAACATAGTACTGCTGTTTTGAAAAACATTTTTATACCCCCCTAAATCAAAGATTCGGGAGTATACAGTTTTTGCCCTGTCTATCTGTCTGCAAAAACTTTAACACTGCTCTGACTTCTGATTGGTTGGAGCTATGGTTTTCATATTTCACGTGTATTCCTTGTGACAAGACCTTCCTTTGGGTACCAATATACAGTTGAACTTCCGTATCTCGAATACTGATATCTCGAATACCATGGATATGTCGAAGTGATTTGGAAGTCCCATTTACTCTTTTTTTTTACTGTAAACAATTATGCAAAATCCCAGTGCTGATATTGAAGATAGAAAAATTAATATGGAGTATGGCTATTTATGAGTTGTCTTCAGATTTAATATATACAATAAAAATATACCATTTGCTAAGTTAAGTTGAAATTGGCCCGGTAGTTATTATGAAGTAGTAAAAAATGTGTGATGTTCACATATGGATGGATGGAAAGAAAGACACTCCTCTGATCAGAAAAGCTCACTTGAGTTTATAGCTTAGGTGAGCTTAAAAATACACCTGTTTTACAAACTCGTTACATATTAATATACCTCATATCTTCCAGAAAGAAACACAATTTGCTTTGCCATTATCAATCTCATTAATACATGCAGTTGTATACAAATTGTCAAAAAGGCTTACTTTATAAACACACCATATTCATTAAAATCACAAATTTCAACTTGTTTCTCTCTGCATATATCACAAGGTGCAGATCTGTAGCTCACTGGTCTGGAAGAAAAATGGGATAGACAGAGAGCTTCAGTTTTATTCATTCAAAAAAGTGTCTATTTATTTTACATACCGGGGTAAAAAAAAAAAGTAAGCATAACTCATGAGCTAAGCCATCTCAAATTGTTACAGTGTTCTTTATATATATCATTTTACTTCTTCTACAACAAAAGATTCCTCATACCCATTGTTTATAGCTCCCTAAGCCTGAGATCATGGAAAAATCTGCCTGTTTATATTGTTGTGATAATTTTATCCCAATTGTTCACTGAATGGAAATAAGAATGACTTTAAAGTTTCTTTTCCAAAAATTGAAACATTTAATTATAATTTTCAATTGAAGTAAAACGAGAAAATATAATTCCTTGCTTTCATTTATAAATTTCAACTAATATGCACCATGAATTTTTTTTAAAAATTTTAATATGAATCGGGTAAAAGATAAATTCTTTGGAGCAATTCCAGTAAAAATTTTCTGGGAGGGGAGGAATGTAGATTTATTTTGTGGGGGGAAGGGAGGGTGTATTTTTTTTATTCTTCAACCAACCTGCAAGAGTTATCTCAGAAGAAAAAGTTATCTTTGCATGGCATGATAGCTAACAAATGTCAGCTCAGTGTGAAAGAGTTTCTTAATAGTGTGGGTTTAAAAGAACTTATGCCTACCTTAAAAAGATTGTTGGTTTTTATTTCTGATAAAAGGTTCAATTAAGTATAATGACTTTCATTATCTGTTTCTTATTTTAACCATTACCACAGGAAATTTGAGCAAAACATGCCATTTAATGCAATATGTTTATGTTGAATCAGACATATGAATAACAAGAGACCCTTGGGCAAGAATGCTCACCTGAGTAAATTGAACACCAATATTTCAAATACCATGGATATCTCTCAGTCAATTAGAAGTCCCAACCCCCTGTCTCCACCTTTTTAACCCTAATTATCTTGAACCTTTGGATATATTAAAATATTTCCTTGGTTCCCTCCCCGAGTTTGAGATAATGAGGTTTGACTATATATACACTGTATTTTATTTGAAAAGAATGGACCGATAGCTTTTTTGTTTGTCTATCCAAACTTGTAAGACCAGTTTGCTACAGATCTGCAGCAAGTTTATATTTATGTTCATTTTAAATTTTTTTTTTCCCCTTAAAAAATACTTCATAAATTAAAGTACAAATTTCAGGAGACCCACACATATTTATCATATACATGTATCTACTGAGTAATACAGGATGTTCATTATAATTTTTTTCATTTTTTTCCCACAAAAATACTTCATATATTAAAGTGCAGTAAAACACTCTTATAGCGAACACGCTTATAATGAATTGACACTTACAGCAAAGTGATTTTCATTCCCCATGGCTTTAAAATATGTTATGAACTTAATGGATATAACGAATTACGTTTATAATGAAGCAAAATCGTCCGTCCCTGGCACTTCGTTATAAGCGTGCTTTACTGTACAAATTTCGAAAGATCCATACAAATTCATCATATACATGTAAATACTGAGTAATATAGAATCTACCTTGGTTTATGGTTGGATATGATTTTTATCCAACCATGCATTGGTTTGTTTTCTATCCCTGAGCCTTAGCAAGGGGATAGAACACACACATGGCAGATAAAAATTATAACCACAAACCATTGGTGATTCTTTTTATCACATTTCACATAATTATTGCATGTTTTACATAGGGATCCCCCTTATTTGACTTCATCATTTTCATGTATAGATTATTGTGATGTCACAATTGTTGATATGAAAACATTATTTTATGACCAAAATCTACTGTATAAGCATGATAAGGGATTAAACATGATAAAAATGAATATGACATGAGATGCTTCTTTTTTGTTACAGTGAAATACCTAATAGGAACTGGCAGTGAAAATTTGCCCTTTTGACACTACTGAACATAGCAAAAAGCTGCACCCTGTATGTAGTATAAAGTTTAACCAAACAAACACTGTTAGAAAGACTGTTTGTCCAGAATGGTTAAAATTTTCGTTTACGTTTTGACTGAGGATCACTGGTTCTAACAGGAAGACTTCTGCGTTTTCTGTCCCTGGCTACATCATCTTCTGGACAAGCTATTATTTCATCTTCACTTGTTCTGGCAGGAACTGAATCTGAAAACAGTTCAAGATGCTTTATTCTCATATAAAAGAGCAGTCCTTGACATGTATGCAAATCAAAACATTTTAACACTTGTCAAATCCTTACCATACAAAAAAAGATAAATGTTATCCCTCCCCCCCTTTTTTTTTTTTTTTAGAATTATTATTTCAAATCAGAAATAGCATTGATCTATTTAAATCTGATATACCTGAACATCTCTGTTGCTGCTGCCAATTCGGATTGCTAACACTGATCACAACCACAGATATACCTCGTTTATTAGAAGGTTTGAAGGCACTCATTACTTTCACTTCTATTCCTTTTCTCATATTTGATGGCAAAAGAGATTTGATGGTAATGGGTGGCTTTGCATGACTTATGATGAGGACATTCCTGTGCTTAGCACAAGAACTGATCAGTCTTTGAATGAACATGTCTAAGTTAACCATATCATCCATGGCTCTCACAAAGATCAGTTTCTTTCGATTGTTCATTACATCCTTTGAATGGTGACATTCAATCAACTTTTCTATGCTCTTATTTTCCACAGATGCCAGAAATATGTCTTGCGAAGGATAAATGCACTGTTCACACCTATCCCAGCCTTCCTTCTTCAGCCAAACACTGATTCCCTTCCACTCAAAGTCTATGTCTGAATGGTTTGGAGGAATGGCTGACACAGTATTTTCTTTCCATTCATATAGACAGCTGGACAATTCCTTTGCATTTGGAAATAGTTGACTCCTAATTTTACAAACTCTATCCACAGTGTCATTCAATTTTAGAAAAAGCGTGTTTAATTTGGAGTCCATTATGAGCACAACTTCGCCGTTGACTTCCTGTTTCTCAACTTTAGCAAGCAGAGATTCTCTGACATTATTTATTAAGTCATCATCAAGACTTAACAAGTGATTGATGGATTCCATCTGGCTTAGCTGATAGCTGCAGTCGGTCAACAATTGACAGAGTTTTTTGAACATTTTGTCCCTACAAATCAGAGCAAATATTGTACAATAACCTGAAAGCAAACAATATTTCACCTAAATACATATTTGAAATCATGTACATTGTACAACAGTCTTTAAAATCATTTTTTTTCATCATTAGCCCAAAGACCTGCCAGTAAATATATTGAAATTAGACGAAAACTGTAGGAGTACCGTTTTGAAAGAATTTCACAGAAATTTCTATATACAGTAATTATGGCAACACAATTCATCGAAATCAAAAACCAATAAATAGAATTATTTACCATAGTGTAATCTACATGTGTGCCAAGTTATACTAAAATCAGACCAAAACTGTAGAAATAAATATGACCAATCATGGCTTCGCTGTTCTTGAGAAGATTTTCCCCATGTATTCCTATGTAAAACTTTGATCGTCCATTGTGGCCCCACCCTATCCCTGGGGGTCATGATTTGAACAAATGAATCAATACAACCTGAGGGTGCTTCCATATCAATATGATCAATAATGTCTTTGCTGTTCTTGCGAAGAAGATTTTTAAAGATTTTTTTCCTATATATTCCTATGTAATACTTTGATCCCCAATTGTGGCCTCACCCTACCCCCAGGGGTCATGTTTTGAACAAACTTGAATCTACACTACCCGAGCAAGTTTTCTTTATCAATGTGACTAATAATAGCTTTGTTGTTCTCGAGAAGAACATTTTTAAAGATTTTTCCGATATATTCCTATGTAAAACTTTGATCGTCCATTGTGCCCCACCCTACCCCCAGGGGTAGGGGTGAAACGATACACCTCCTTCACGGTTCGATACGTATTGTATAATTTTGTCTCGGTTCGGTTATTTTCGATACGATACATTTTGATAGAAGGAAACAAATTCTAAGTTGTTTTATGCTTTCTTTTTCTAAATCTAGTCACATATTTTACGAATTTTATTTGCAAATTGACTAGAAGAAATTGATTAAAATTATTTGACTGTCAAAAATTATTTTACAAGCTATCAGTCATCAAAAATTTACGTTTTCTGTACTTATTTATTCTGAGTAACGTGTTATACCTTATGCCAAACCCGACTGAATAACGATCCCGACCGAAAAATGAACCGAACCGAAAATTAGAGATTTTGCACCGTGTATCAAACCGAGAAAAAATACCGCGGTGCATCGATACCGCGGTGAACCGTTTCACTCCTACCCAGGGGTCATGATCTGAACAAACTTGAATATACTTTACATAATGAAGGTTTCAAATATGTTTCAACTTTTCTGGCCCAGTGGTTCTTCTTCAGATTTTCCTATATATTCCTATGTAAAAAATGATCCCCCATCGTGGACCCACCCTACCCCAGTAGGTCATGATTTGAACAAACTTGAATCTACACTACCTGAGCACGTTTTCTATATCAACATGACAGATCATGGCCTTGCTGTTCTTGAGAAGAAGATTTTTCAAGATTTTTTACTATATGTTCCTATGTAAATCTTTGATCATTGTGGCCCCACCCTACCCCCGGGGGTCTTGATTTGAATAAACTTGAATCTACACTACATAATAAAGGTTTCTTGTAAGTCTCAACTTTTCTGGCCTGGTGGTTCTTGAGACGATTTTTAAATGATGCCACCAAATTTTCACTAATTCTTAATTATCTCCCCTTGGTAGAGGGCGTGGCCCTTCATTTGAACAAACTTAAATGCCCTTCACTAAAGCAGGCCTCTATGTGACTTCTAAACTTTAGGTGCCAACTGGCTCCTAATCCAAAAAATTTATCGCCAATGCAAATTTTTTGTCACAAGGTAAATTTTTCTTAGGCATCAATTTAAAAATTGATATATTAGTCAATACATAGAGACATGTCTATTGCTAACTTTTAAACTTCTTTTCTTCTCTTCATTAAAAAAAACTGAAAATGTTAATAGTTCAGTAATTTGACAAACACCAGGTAAATTTAAAATAGTTGCCAATTTGGCGACTTGAAGAATAATTTTAGGCGCTATGGCGACTAAATTAGTCCCAATTAGAGCCCTGCAAAGGATGCTTTGTAGCAAGTTTGGTTGAAATTGGCCTAGTGGTTCTGGAGAAAAAGTCGAAAATGTGAAAAGTTTACAGACGGACGGACAGACAGATGCCGGACAAAATGTGATCAGAAAAGCTCACTTGAGCTTTCAGCTCAGGTGAGCTAAAAACTTTTAAATATAGGAAAAAGGAAAGAAGTTGGGCGAACAAAGTGAGCGAAGTGCCTATAGTTCAACAAACATGAAGACGAAAAAATAAATTATAACAAAATTTTCTTTGATATTTCATCTAAAATTAAAGTATACTTTATGTAAAATCTCCACAATTTGCAAAAATCTCAAAAAGATAGAAATTATTTGCCAATGAAATAGCATTCACACACTAAAGAGGGTAAAAAAGGATCATTTTCTCATACTATAACACAATTTTTTGATATGAGTGGGTCTTCACTCCATTTTTTGAAAGTTTATCCTCAAAGTTTGTGTAAAAATATACCTTTTTTTTGGTTAACAAAAGCATGGAGCAAAGACTGACTATACCTTAAAAATACACTTTAATGACACAACATTCCCATCTTCCGAGAAAAAATACTTGAGAATTTTCCTCACAGAAGTTTTGTTTATCACAATTTCAAGAATTGGAACTTTACTCTACATACTAAATTCAAAAATTACATATAATTTTCAAATATCTGAAGCTATAGGCCTTCTGCATGCATTCTATACCCATCTACTTTACAGAAGCCAGTGTTGCCATCCTGTGTTGGTTTGATTAAATTGACTATTCAAAGGATCTCCACTACTAAAATCTGTTATGACAAACTATGCCTATTTCAGGATTATTTACTTGTGAAGTTATCTTTCTTATCAGAGGGTCGGTCCCCCTTAATAACACTTTATCAAATAAAAAAGAACTGATTCTAGTACTCACCTGACCATGTCTGCAATGATTTTCATGATGTAAGGAAGATGATCATCGCTCAGCTGATTAGAAAAGCTTGCAGACTGAGACCAGGATTTCGCATATTGCACATCAAATAACTCCCTGGCTTTCTGGGGTATCATATCTCTCTTTAAGGGCCAGACTTTCTTTGTGCTGCTTATTGCTAGGGCACAATCTGAAAGTAAATTTTTTTGAATTTTATTTCTGTGGCAAACAAAATATCTCTTTTTATCATTCTACAAGTACATTGTATACTGTATGTGTACTTAAAAAAGCGGGCCTCATATTTTAGCGCCTTTGGCGCAGACAACAATGCGCTAATTCATGAATACCGCTAAGAAATCATTTATAAATACAATATATGGCACAAACATATGTAGCGCTAATTCATGATTACGCCAACAACTCCATACCCAGAGACTGCGCTAAATTTTGAATGCACCAAATTGTGTACACGTACAGTATTGCCTACTGCATACAACTTTTTGAAATATATTTTCAATATTTCTACAATGCACACCATGGACTTCAATGTTATCAAGATGTGATCAGGGTGAGCACTAGGGCTGTGTATTGAGCAAAAAAATTCGATACGATACAATATTTTATAATGCAATATCCGATATACTGGATTCTTTAATAAGTCTATCAAAAAAGTCTTATAAATCATTTAAAGCATGAATTTTATAAATTAAAGCTAATTGTTTTATAATCCATTTCGAAGGGCTTGTCTCACTGTCTCTACAAATTACACTTCGAAATCAAAATTTTAATGACTGTAAAAACAACATGTTAAAGTAGAGTTATCTATGTATAATATTATAATATTTATCTAAGATGTGCTATCTCCTTAATGACTATGTCATTATTGATCAATTCTAATTCAAAACAGTGAAAATATAATCTTTGGTGATTGAAATTCCCAACTTTTTCACAGAATTATGAGAAAATCTGCCTGTCCGATACGTATTGGAAGTTATTTTTTCGATACGATACATTTTCAAATATCGATACGTATCGATATATCGATACAGCCCTAGTGAGCACTACTGTTTACTAGCCTAACCCAACATACAAAGCTAACATTCTTCTAGAGCCCCTGGAGAGGAGGAAGTAAAAAAGAAAAATAAATCCACAGGGACTAAGCTTGTTTTCTTGTTGAAAGTCAACTGCTTTTGATACAGAATGAATAATTCAAGGGAAACCAGTATTCACAAAGAGTAGTCCATCAAACTTACTGCAGGTGAAAAACCAAGTAATTAATGTAGTGAAAATCAAAATATGAGAGAATTCAGAGAACTGGCCAGAGGCACAGGAATGCTTGAAAATATCATTGTCAGAACTGCAAACTCCATTTATAATAACAGATCATGAAAAATTTTGTTGTGAGGTACTTGAAGTTGTTGCTAAGCCAATGCAATTCTGCACTACCCATAAAAAAAAGAATATTGTTAGATTTTGAGATATTGATTGACAAATACCCTGCCCTACGAAGTCAAAGTGGAGTTTTGATTCTTAATGTTTAGGACCCATCAGTACGTCCAAAACAGGAATCTATAAATCATAGCTAAAAAATGTTAGAGGATATTTATCTCTTAAAATATTTCAGAATATGAATAAGTTTAAAATTCAAGAAAAGGAATTTTTTTATCACACTGCATCTAGATAGGGAAAATTACATACTTTTGCATACAACTTTAAAAGCAAAAAACCTATGTCCAAAAAATATATATTTCAATCTGAAAATTTATATTGAATGTGAAGTCCTTTTTTTGTTGTAAAACTGTAAAAATATTGAGAGGTGAAGCTTATTTCAATATTGCACAGGACTTATACAAGGCATAAGCATGGTGAAAACGTGTCATGATTACATTTCTAGAGTATGGGAAAAACTAACTATGACATCACACATAAGCTAAATAAGCAAAATAAGATATACCTACAAAAGATTTCTGTCAACAACCATGTGAAAATAATTTTTGTGATCCCTTATTTACAAAATACTCTACCACATGCTGTTTATGTCCCTTTTTTTTGTAATAATACTGAACGTGTATTCACCGACTATGATCTTGCTGTACTATGAGATTATCTATGACGTCACCGATTTGTTGGACGCACAGTGTAGGGAAACGGAAGAGTGGATCAATCTATTCCGTAATTTGTTAATATTTACAAGAAAGTTAAAACTTTTTAATATTTTTATATAATATGGTGAAAACAAATTTCCAAAAAATTATACAAGTATTGATGGTTTAAGTCAGATTATTAGAGACTATGATGTAGTTAAACTTAGTCAAGTGACCATGTGTCCTTCATCCCCTTAAGTAACCAAAACAACATCATTGTTACCAGAAATTGCTATATATACAGAATTAAGTATCTCAGTGATGTCCAAATCTATTAAACCACAAGTTAGAGGAGGAATACCATTTTGAAAGATGTTTCCAGACATGATCTTAAAAATGCAAATAGAACTGACGAGGAAAAGTATAACCCAGACTGGGACCTCGGACTGGCCATTTTGGTAGTCTACCACTGAGCTACTGGGCCCACTTCCTATTACACTCTTCCCTGTCTTTTTCTTGTGGTTTTCCACATGAAAACTTTTAAAACCAACAATGGGTTTGTGTTGCAAGCCAACTATATTAAATGTGGGGAAAAGTGTCAGGAAAACCTGGACTCAAACCCAGGACCTCCCACAAACCAAGCTGGTGCACTAGCACTGAGACATACCTAATCATCATTACACATTAACTCCTCTGAATGGTCAAAGGTTCATGAAGCACATTGACAATTTAGCAACGAGCCAAAATTTGAATAATCGGTAAATTTACAGGTAAAAGCATTCTCTTGATGTTTGTTATCTTGAAAAACATTTCCATTTTGGATTGCTTTGACTTCTACATCATTTTAGCAGAATACAGATTTTTTTTACTGAAGTCTGAATTTTTCTATGATCCATCTTGTTTCTGACCCATAGGACTAAAGACTATGGCAGAAGGGGAATTTTTGTACTTCCATGCTTTAAACACAACATTCAAAATTTTAGATTTTGCAGTTTTCAATACCATTCCATATATAGCACTGAAGACCTATAATTTGAACAAAGAATTGTGATTCTATTTTTTACAGCACTTATTAACTATGCAGCAAAACCAACATATCAACAGAAATTACCCTTTATATACGATGCAATGTTGTATGTACCTGGAAATGTTGCATTTTCCTCCCATTCAGATTCAGAGCTGAATTCTTCATTTGGATTGGACTTTCCTGGATCATTCCTAGCTTTCTGTGGAGATGAACTGACCTTTTCCAAAACTGTTGGGCTGGGTATTGGTTCATCATCAGAACTGTGGTATACGCCATTACTAGTAGCCTCATCATCTGTGTTCTCATCCCCTGATGAAGGTGAAGTTGTGACATGAAGCTCTGCTTGTGTAATAATCTTCTGTTGTATGGGCAATTTTTTGGAAGGTTCTCGTACATTTTTCTTTGGTGTGGAGGATGCGGATGGTTCAGTTGTTTTACTTACTTTGGAGCTGTTCTTCGTGACTGGAGTCTTGTTGGATTTGGTGGTATCAAATCTCCCTTTCTTTACACTGCTCTCACCGTCTGCACTCTTTTTCACAACTGTCATCTTACTCTTCCCTGTAGTTTTCTTTAAGTCTTTTTCCACAACCTCATTTTCATCTCCTGATATATCTGATTCTTCACTGTCATTATCCTTCCACACTTTTGAATTATTTAGTGAATTGTTCTTTACATTCCTTTTCAATGACTTTTGCTCAGTATTTGATACTTTATTATTAAATGGATCCTCTAGCTCTGAGTCACTAGATTCAATCAAATTCTGTCCATCATCTTCTTTAATGTTTTCATCAGAACTGTCATCTCTCTCCCCCTCCTCCGTCCTCCGTTCTGTGATACCATTTTTACCTCTCACAGGACTGCTATTCTTGTTCTGTTTCCCTTTCTCATTCCCCGTGTTTTGTGTGGCTCGAGTGTCTTTCACACTGACCTGCTGTTGACCCATTTTTTTTGTACTTCCTCCGATATTAATCTTTGGAGTTAATGATTCTGGTTTTTCAGCTGCTTTGCTTTTTGTGAGACTGTTCTTTGTGTTTGGAGTCTTTTGTACTTTGGGAGTCTCTAGCTTTCCTTTCTTAGCACTGTTTTCCCTAACTGCAGAGTTTCTTTCTACTGTCACTTTAGATGATTTATTACCACATTTTGCTACCTTAACATTCTCATCTTCTACAAAATCAGATCCATCACTGTCATTATCACTTTGACAATTTCTAGAATCATCTAGTGTATGATTGTCTCCTTTCTTGTCAACTGTCTTAGTTCTTCGATTTCCTGTTGTGCTGTTCAATGGATCCTCCAGATCTGAGTCACTTGATTCATTCAAATTCTGATTGTTGTCTTCATTTGCATCATTATCAGACAACTGGCTAATCATCAAAATGTCCTCATCCAACTGTGTGTTAAGGGAGTCGAGTGGAGCTTCATAACTTTGCTCGTCTTCATCTCCACTTTGTGGCTCCTCATCAGAACAGTCCTTGTTTATTTGTCTATGTTGTTTTTTCAAGGCACCTAAAATCAGTTTACATTCACAGTAAAAATAAATTGTGAGATCTTAGCATGTGCTTAAGAATAGTGGGTAATGTCAAATTATCCTACAGAAGTCATAAATGTCTGTCACACTTTACTTTAGTATTATGTTGCAGACTTAACGAAATTTTTAAATCACTATCAGACATTTGGTCTGACAAAGACAAATGTTCTGTCAGACCGGACGAAGTTTTGTCAGACTAGATACATGTACCTTATTTTGACGCTGAGAAAGGAAAATTAATAACTGCCCTAAAATGCCCTTTATTATTTTCAACAGCCTACAGTCTAATAAGTTTCTTTTCTTAGGATAGAGAGTCTATAATCAGAGACATAAATGACGTTTTATGTCTGCTGTAACAAATTTAATGGACCAGTCACCACGTGGCCATCTCATCTGTTTTTGTGACCTTCACCTGTGCACCCCGATTCTGATTTTTTTTAAAAATTTGTGTCATTTTTTCAACAGTCATTTGGAACTGAGTATTGCTCAGCTGAAACAAGTTGGATATTTCTTCTTTTCTTTTTTTTTTTCTAAAAAGCCATCCATTTGCAAGATTACTCAACTTAATGAAAATATTTTCATTGATAATACGGGAATAAACTGTTGCAACCATTGCAGAAAAGAATTAAATTACCAGCTTACATAGTTTTATATATATTTTTTTTTCTACAATATCACTATTATTGATCACATATTTACAAAGAAAACATTTCATCATTTAAATATCTTAAATCAGGGTTGGCCGGGAAATACCAGTGGTAAATACCAGTATTTCCCGTCCTGGGAAATACTACAAATTTTCTCTAAACTGGGAAATATTGGGAAATACTGGGAAATACAAACTTTAAGATTTTTATTTCTTTAATTCATTCCATCTTATATAAAATTCAGAAACAAAATAAACATAAAAACAGAAGATGACTGCAGTTTTACATATTCAGAATGTATCACTACTCCAGGTCCCCTACCCATAAGCATTCTGAAGCAGTACACATTTCCCTGGCTGTAAATTAAAAACAAATCTGCAGTTTTCCAATTGAAGTTTTTTTTTCAGTTTTATAAAATTATTTAGCTTATTAATTATAAATCCAAGAACAAAACAAACTTGTTTTCTATTTAAACACTGTAGTTTTTATAATCAATTGTGTTGTTTTAACAAATTGCTCTAGACAGTTTTGTGCTCCTGTTTTGAGATATAATTACTAGTACCTTGAGTAGAAGTGAAAGGCTTCTTCTTAGGTTTGATATTTACACCATACTCTACATTTAACAATTTTCTTAGATCCTTCTTTAGTTTCATAAAAAACCCAATTGGGATCTTTGGGTTCATTTCATCTACACTGACACAATCATGAAACAAATGACATGACTGGTATATGAATATACTGTATTATGATTATATAAAATGAATTACTTTGAAACCAGAAATTTTAAAATCAGGGACAGTGATGCCAAGTAGATATCTTAGCCAATGAAGTGTACTACATGTCTATACCCCGATTAAAATCATGAAATATGTAGCTGTTTCTTATTTCCCAGTATTTCCCGAGAAATACCAGTAATTCCCGGTAATTACCAGTATTTCTCACCGTCCTGGGAAATATGAGTATTTCCCAGTTTTTTGCCAACCCTGTCTTAAATGTATCTTTACTAATATTTTCTGTTTATTATATTGTACATATCTTCTTTTCACTGTTTTGTCAGTTATGAGAATAAAGTTCAAATTCAAAGTTCAATTGCAAGTTCAAGTTACAATTAAAGTCGGCATTATAAAAAGAAATTTTTGCTTGAAACAAATCTTTACCTTTGTCTTTTTTGAACTGGTCATAATGTGCTGGTCCGCAAAATACTCTATAAAACAAAATTCAAGACATTGTTCAAAATTTCTTTTAAAACAATTCGAATAGGTCTTTTTTTAAGGAATAACTGTCTAATTTTTTGGATTCATGATGTGATCAATCGAGTGGCTTGCATGATAATTTGCATAAACACTGAAGGCGTTTATGCATAAAATTATCAAGCAAGCCAATCGATTGATCATCGTCATAAATCCAAAAAATCTGACAGTTATTCCTTATATTTACATGCTCCTGATTCTGCAAATTCCCGTGCTTATAGCCCCATGTCTGTCTCTATTTGTCCCACCCCGCACATGATTTTTTTTAACCGCGCCTATTGATGAACCAGTAGATTTATGTAGAAATAAAGTATTTTTACAATTTGTAATTTTATCTCGGACAAAGACATTGGAAATGTAAATATTTTTCTCCCAATTCCTTTTCAGGTATATTGATAACATATATTTCTGTGGGAAAGTTGTACAGGGAAACAATTATTAATATGAAGTTGTTCAAATTGTATCTTGCAAAAGGAATGATAAACAAGAAAAGTGACTACTGGGTAGGTCAGGTAAGAAACTCTTTTACGTTTGTCATCATACACAGGGATCGACGTTAACAGTTGTCTGATTGCCCGGGACAAGTAAATTCTCAGTTCAGGCTAGTGAAACTATCAAAGTACTTGTCTGATCGGGCAAGTGAATTTTTTTCATACAAATGTATACAATCTAATTAAAATTAGATGTTCTGAATCCGCTACCGCTTCTCAATCATCTAACAACATCCCATTAGGGGTCACGTCAGAGCGACCTGTCGATTATGAATAATCATAAAAATTTTGGCCAATCAGATTCAACCTTCTGTATACAATTCTAAAATTAGTTCCACGGCTACATCTTTACATTATTGATGCTCAGTAGACTGTCTTGTTAAATTAAACTGTTAAAGTAATTTTGGTATAAATTGAACGTATAGTCCGCCAATCTGGCATTCTTACCTAAATAATACAAACGAAAATGCACAAACTACATGTGTGTACGTCTATATATCTCGCACATCACATTCATATATAGCACGGTCTTTACCATGCGTATTTTGTTTACTACGAAACCCCTCGGGTGTTTAGGTTTGGCAGTATAAAAAGAAACGCATCTGAACTATAAGCCAAGATTTCAGAGATGACGATTTCATTGGGTAATCGAAAGGTCGCTCTGACGTGACACCGAATGGGATGTTGTTAGATGTTTGAGAAGCGGTAGCGGATTCAGAACATCTAATTTTAATTAGATTGAAATGTATATATCATTTAGTTTCATTAATTTGTAAATAAACAATAAATTGAACATTTGATTTCTGCCAGGTACCTGACTGACATTGTTTTTGCATTCGGAATTCCTTGGTAGCATTCCTAGATTATACCGTTCATTTAAAAGTCGGGTTCATTTTTTCTGTTTTCTTTCGTGGTAAAATACACTAGAACCTCCAACAACTTTGTTAGCTACTTTGTACTTATTTAGATTATTTATTTACTTACAAATAAGTAACATGATATATCCTGATCAAATGTATGTTTCGTAGCAACTATCTTCTTTTAGCGTTGGCTTTACAAATATCTCTGAAAATTACAATTCACAAAAGGATCCTACAGAAAATAATTTTTAAAAATGTGAATTTTATTCAAAGGAAACGGAGGATTATTGCTGCATGGCAGTGTGGTTAAGAGGTTAAATTGACAAGTACATTGGTACACATTTAATTACAAGTGCGTATTATAAGTGTTTATGATCACATTTTTTTCTTAGCATAACATAATTTTCTTCTTTCCTAATTTTGGGCAACCAAGTTATGCATTCAGACAAGTCAAAGTTTGAGATTACTTGCCTGAAAGGCAAGTGAATCTGAAAGTTAATCTCTATCCCTGATACAATAAACAATGTTTTCAATAAGATTTATAAACCTGAAATAGCAGAATCCCTAATCTTTGCAAGAGGGATTCTAGCTACCTGAAACTAACAAAGGAATCAGTTCTTAATAATCATGTATCAATCTAGGTAAAATTTGTAAAGATATTTTATTCGGCTATTACCAAGAGTTGCGAGTTTTTTATGCATGTATAAACAGAGCTCAAAAAATAATCGATTGCCCACTGGTCTGAGGCCAGTCATTGGGTTTTGGGTTAGTGCTTTGTAAAGAGCATAGGAGGAGTTGCTGATAAGAGATGGGTACCCCCAAGTGTTACAGACAGATGGAAGGATGTACACCCCCATCACCATCACCACCTGTGCTTTTCAAATGGGGGGGGAAGGAGAGGAGGGGGAGAAATTACGTCAAGTAGGAGGTGCACAATGGCACTGTGTGATAAAGCTTCTTTGAAAAATTTCACCATGTTATATTCAGTGGTATAAGAGAAGTTGCGGATAAGAGGTATTCCCTAATATTATAGAAAGAATGGAAGTATTCATGTTTTACTATGGGAAACCCAAAATATCTGTCAGATTAAAACAAAAAATAGCAGGTGCAAATGGCACAATTTAATAAGGATTCTGTGAAAGCCTCATTAAATTTTATTCAGTGGTAAAGAAAGAGTTGCAAATAAGAGATGTTACAGATGGATGGAAGGACACCTCCCATAACTATATACCTATGCTTTTCAAGCGGAAAGGGGGGGGGGGGTATAATAATTTTTGGAGCCCTGATAAGGTTGGAATTAGTGTTTACACTTGCATGTACCCTAAAATTTCATGAGATTTCAATGATATCAAATTTTCATGAAAAAGGCAAAACTCAGGGAAAATTACTCTGGACAGTATCAGTTAACCACAATATAGATTTTGGCTTTTGGCCTTACAAGTTCTGAGTCAGAAGAAATTATATTAAAAACATTGCTAACAAAATTTTTTCCCCTTCTTGAAAAAACATTAGTTCTAAGCAGTTTTTTTCCTCCAAGAATTTATATCTAGGTCATATCCCATAGTGATTTTTTTTTACTCAAAAATATTTACAAATTAAAACAGTGTACACAGCTTGTTCAAAATTCTTGGTACCCAGATTTTTACAAATTCTTCACCTTGTACAGATTATGGTACCTTTATGCATATAAACATAGTTTAAATTCATAAATCTGATCCTTAGTTACCTGTACATCACAAGTTTATCGTTTTCCTTCAAATATCTGACCTCCATGCGCTTCGTGACAGCCACATCATCCAGCTTGGCACAGTAGAAGTGAAATGTTTTGGAACACTTGGATATAGCACATCCAGCAGTGGCGCCTTGCATTTTCCCATACCTGCTTTTGTCAGATTTGCATATGGTGCATTTCTACAAAAAAGAAGAAACTTAGGCAACATAAAATTGAATTTACGGTTCCTAGGCCCACGTGCATGCGTTTTGAGGTACCCGCATTGCAAATTTTATTGCCATGTGCTTCACAACTACGTAGTTTTACCTGTCTGTGGTTACCCTGTCTTTACTCCTCAGAAATGCCAAAGGTAGTTTTCAGAACAAAATATTTTCATGCGAGTACAGGGTTTTAAACTAACTTCCAATCCTTAATAGCCATGTGGGCTACTGAACCTTGCAATTCTGGGACCCACATCAAAATTTATTCGCCCACAGATTATCACACCTTCTATTGAATATAAAAACAACCACCCCATTTTTCATTTTTTTTATCAAGTGCTTTGTGGTTCTTTTCTATCCGTTGTAACATTATGCACGACTTATCTAAATTTGAAGTGGAACTCTTCTGTTTATGAAGATTAATATGATCATTCAATATCATATATAGAGTACATGGCATGTTTTCATTCACAAATAACAACAGTACTTTTTGGTTTCTTGGGCTCATTGACCCGTCGATGCCACATTGTGCCCGACACAATCACTTAGACGCTTTATGTATAAGTACTTCTTACGGGTAATTATAAATCACTTTACTGATTATGAATTTTTCAAGAGAAAAATACAAAACATTCGGACAAAATTGAAAAACAAATATTTATTATCGTAAATTTTCTAATCGCCATGTGGGCAACTTGAATGTAATTTTAAGTCGCCCACATGGAACATTAGTCGCAAATTGCGAGTGGGCAACTGTTAATTTCAAACCCTAGAGTATTTACAACTTCGTTTTCCTTTACTTAAAATGATAGTTTGTATAATGATTAAAAAACTGCAACAAGAAAAATTAAAATCTAAAAGCATTTTACAGATATTTTAAATTGTGTTGTAAACATGAAAATGTCTCCTATCCCTATAACAGTTTAAAACCTGATGAGCATATCTTGAAAGTGAACATCTTGAACTTCCAGTAGTTTCAATAAGCTTTTTATAAAGCTATCTTGTTTTCAAATTGAGCATTATTGATTGAATAAAAGAGTGCTTCAGTTTCTGATTTTATTGGTAAGGAACAAAAATGAAGACTTTAATTGGCAACTAATCAAATTCTTTATGATAAAGTAGCATCAATTATACATATGTGTAGTTATATTGTGAGATGTTAAGTAGATTTAGTTTAATAGATGGTAAAAAAAAAACTTATGATCAAAGAACTTTTATTATTATTTATTAGAAAATTTGGGTATTAAAAAATATCTCCCTCATCTACTTTATCACCAATAAAATGATAAAAAAAAAAAAGCCTCCCTCCCTTATCTGTTTCGAGAAAATTGGCCTGAGAACCAGAGAATTAAATTTATGTAGCCTTATGACTTCTTTGTTTAAGCTTATGTTTTCATGATTCAATACCATTTTATGTGGACATATTTTCTCCATTTCCTCTAATTTGTGGTTTGCAGGCTTTCAAATTTTTTTTCAAGAATGCAAGAATTCTGAATGCAAATTAACCTTTATTAAAACTCAGAAAATTATATATGGCTAAATGTTATCAACAGAGAGTATACATACATGTACAATTGCCAGTGTTTTCCCTTTATTTCAAAGTAAAGGGTTAGATCTCAATTGTTACAGGCTTTGGTTTGAGGTTTATGACAAATCTCTGTGGACCTTACAATAATTAAATTTTGATTTTTTAAGGAAGCTCTAAACACTGCACACTAAAGAGTTCTAATTGTAGGGTAATTTTATACAGTTAGAGTGATCTGCCTTTAGAAGTAAGATACAAAGAATGGTTATTTATAGTTAATTACACAATTTGTAATAGATTAAAATATTCGTAACATTATATTAGACCAAGAATAAGTAATTGAATTCATTATTTCCATTAATTTTCCCAATGTTGGTAAACAACAGTAATTTCTGTTCACGCATAGTCCATTGTCTTTGAACATTTTTCTTGCAGGAATAAGGCAGGTACCCTATGTTGAAAATGAATTAAATAGTCTCAATATGCACACCTTTATATGATGTATTTTTCTCCAAGTCCAAAAAGCACTTTTTGTTAGTGTTTAGAGCTTCCTTAAAATTTCAAATTGGCATTTTTATCAACTGAAGAGGTCGATTTGGCTGGGAGCTGGTTCTTAGGGAAAACACTTAATTGCTACACCAGAAGTGTATTCTGCAAAAATAAATTCCCAATGACCATGATGACAGAAAAAGAAAATGGACAAATATTTTATATATCCACTCATACAATCAAAGGAGATTGAGTTGTTCCTCTTAGGTCATAGGTTGGGGGGAGGTAGTGAAGGGGGTCAGAAAAATATTTTTTGCTAAGCTACTAATTTGATATCAGAATGAAATACACACCATAAAAATTTTTGAAGACAATGTGCAAAGGCAATGTAAATATAATCATCTTGCATTAATTACACATTGTAAAATAATTTTACAGAAAAAATAATTCATCTTTCTTTGGATGACTTACCAATCTCTTTCCTCTTTGGATTTCCTTTTCAACTTTGTCAATTTTAAATCCTCCAAAACTTGCAAATTTGTACTGCACAAGATCAGCTGAATATTGCTATAAAAACAAAGAGAGAAATATCTTTTGTTTGAATGGTATCCACAAAGGACATTTTTTTTTTCTACATTATACAGGTGTTTAGATACACTGTGATTTTTACATGCCTGCAGTAAAACATATAGCAGGATTTTTGAGGTTGGGCAAGCAAACGACAATGCTGCATTAGCCCACTGGGCTTGCAAATCTAAAAGGAACATAAACAGTTTACACATTATTCGTTGTGCAAGTGTCAATTCTACATCAATCAAATTTACATATATGATTGAACCTTGTTGCAAAATCAAGATTCTCTGTTTGTTCAAACATATATATGCATTTGTGCATTGCCAGCGATGGTCGGTTCATGCAGTAACAGAGGACTTGTAGTTGGTTACACTAAAAAGGTTAGCAAAGGTGAAATGCGTGACTAGAAGCTGCCAAACAAATTGATTAATAATAAAATATATATAAAACTGACCATTGTTTTGCATATGTATTTATTTCAATTTAACTTCATTTTTAAGTTTTGTGTTATACATGTACATGAAATGTTAATTATGCTGTCAGTATGGGCTAGTAACTGACAACCTCAGGCTAGTAACTTTGTTACTGCCACTGGCTCCTGGGCTGGTTGCTTATATTTGTAATTGCACACCCCTGGACCAGTTGCAATGGGACATATGTATAAGAAAATCATTTTTACTTTGAGGTGGAAATTTTGCCATTACAGGAAACTTAATATTCATTCTGATGGTCCCAATCTCTTTTGATATTTGATGTTCTAGAACTGCTACTGATTTGTTATGAGTTGACACCATTTGTGCATATTGACAATAAATGGAAATTAGAGGTAGCAAAAGTTCAGGTTTAATAAGGCCATCTTTAAAATAATGCCCTCTCCCAACTTTGGAAAAAAACACTGGGTCAGTAGGTAGGTAGGACCCCCCCCCCCCCCCCCCCCGAAATTTTCAACATCAATGTTGAATCATCAAAATCTATAAAAATTAAAGGTATTAATAAAACTAAAATCGTTGTTGACAGCATGAGAAAATAATTCTGGAATGAATTTAAAAAAAAAAATAAAATCGCTTCCTGGAGGTTTGAAAAAGTTATGAGTTGGGCCATTTCTAGCCAGTCAGTCGGGAGAAGGCAAACGCAGTCTATGCGAAAGTCACCGGACCATCGGTTTTTACCGGTAAAATTTGGTTTGGGTCGGTAAAAAAATTAAGGATACAGGACCAATTGTCCGATGAAAAATTTAGGCCTAAAAATCTTAATTTACATGTACACATGGTCTTATTGTCCACACATAGCCTTTATTTGATCAATTTAGCAGTGATACATGTTTAATTTTAATTTATAAGAATCCTGTCATGATTGTTTATTTCTAACTCGAATTTCCTCTGCCACGGAATATATATCCATAGATAGCTCATATGTGATTCGGTTGGGCGAAATAATTATCATTATTAAACAAGCATAACTGTAATGAGTTACTTCAGGAAAGAAATAAATATATTTTAAAGTGCATTTTAAGTTTAAAAAAAAATCTTTGACAATTTCCTTTGTATGTGTCAAATAAACAGAAAAAGAGAAAATTGTATGGAATTGTATATAACCTTTTAAAAAGGAAAATTATTAATAGTAAGCTTGTTAATTTCAATAAAATAATTTTTTTATAATCTCAAATCTGGATCTATTTGAGGTTCATTTTAACAGTGAGAATTCCCCCCCCCCCCCCCTCCTTTTTTTCAATCTCTGTATCATAATGAAGTATGATTGAATTTAAAGGGTGAAAAAAGGTCGGTCTGGTAAGTAAATGCTTGGTCTGGTAAAATATATATTTTTACCAGACCTTATGTCCTGTAAAAATTTTAGACTTTCGCATAGACTGCAAACGAAGAAGTTTTTAAAGATGGCCTAAATGTGCCTATTGTTAAAATTTTTCAACCAAAGAATCAAAATCAGAAAAATATTAGATCTACACTTTTAATCACCAGGCAATTAATCATCAGAATGGCTTCAGTCACTGCAGCTTCCCAAAATGCTTGTAAATATTTTCAATCTTATTCACTAAAGATGATCACCTACCATACATTTGTGATGAGCTGCAGTATTTTTGTTGTCATAATGTAACTTCCCGCAGATAGATTCAACTTCAGTCCCCAGATGACAGAAACCACACTTTATAGCTCTGTCTCCATCCATTTGTAGCAGCTGTTAAAATGAAGCTTAAAACTATTTGTCCAACACAGTATACGATTACATAGCCTGATAGTCAAGGTAGCATATTCTGTTACATAGCCCGATTGTAAAGGTAACACTTTTTTTACTTTAATGCAATGATAGAATAAACAACAGTGATTTTTTAGACAAGAGGACAATGGGCCCCAAAGCTTACCAGAGTTGCCAAAAATTTATATCTTATACTCTTTGAGTCACAATTTCATCCTCAAGCTTAATAGGAAAAGGCTGAATCAATAAGCTTGTTTCAAGTAAAATTTTTAAAAAATCAATTTTAACAGTATATCTTAAGAGGTACTGTAAAATCACTTATTTTCGTGGGGTCATATTTTTGTGGTTTGAGGAAAAATTACTGGTTCCAGGGGGGTTGATTTTGTAATTAAAGTAGAAACATTATACTACAATGTGCAGAAAATGGAATGTTCATTACCATTTCATCGGCAAAACTGGGTATATATAAATAAATGCATGTACATAATGATACTTATATTCATACATACATACCTGTGAAGTGTATTTGTCTCTTATTTTCTTTGCAGCATCTACAACCGCAGAAAATTTTTATAAATGCTGGCAAAGGTCACAAACGTCTTCTCCAGTTTTTGTTCTGCTACAACAACAGAAAATTTTTATAAATGCTGGCAAAGGTCACAAACGTCTTCTCCAGCTTTTGTTCTGCTACAACAACAAAAATATTTAAAGTACTAAATAAATAGGAATTTTGTTGATTATCTCCCCTTGGAATCAGCTTGGCCCTTCCTTCCAACAATTTAAAAAAAAAACCTTAGGCCAAAAAAAATAATAGTCTTGTTTCCTGCTACCAGCCTGAAAAAAAATAGAGTAGGTAGGTAGGAAAATTATTTTATTTTATATTTTTATTTTATTTTTTTCCGACAGCATTTTTTGGATATGAACTAATACAAGATAAAATTAAACATGTCACAGGTCAACATTGTCTTTTAAAATTGAATTTCATGTCTTTTATGCACAACTCAAGTGGTATTTTATGAAAGTCCATATTTAAAACAAGAATTTCATGAAATGCTTGTTTTGTGTTAACACGGAAATCGATTACAGTGACAGAACGATGAAATTCCAGAAATTCCCGATTTTTTTTTCTCCCAAAACTTGAAAAAACTTTAGGGTCGGGTGCAAAAAAATAGGGTAGGTCGGGTAGCAGGAAACAAGACTATTATTTTTTTGGCCTTACCAAAGGTTTTGTGCTAGGGCTGTCACGAGTACCTGAAATAACCGAGAACCGCGGTCCAAGTTGTTCGGTTCAGTTCCGGTTCCATTTTTCTGGATTTCGGTTCGGGTCTGGTTTATATATTAGAGTCTGTTCAATACAAAAAATGGCGTCGAATCAAAGGAATGATGATGATAACAGTGATAAATAAACATCACAACTGAAATCTACTTCGTTCCATGACAAAACACTTGTCACGGAAGTATTAGATAATAATCAAAACGAGCAGGAATGGTCAGGTTGTGGCTAATAGTAGGCCAAGTCACCGATGTCTAGATGTTCGCATGGTTAAGACTTATTTCCAATGTAAATTTAATGTAACAAATAAAGATTTTTCAAGTTAAATTCATGAAATTAAGGTTTAAAATAGATGTAAATACCCGACCCGAAAAACCCGAAACCGAACCGAAAATTTACAGAACCGACCCGACCCGAAAAAATTTGGAACCGTGACAGCCCTATTTTGTGCCAACTTTGGCTAAAAATGGCCCAGTGGTTCTTGAGAAGAAGTCAAAAATATGAAAGTTTACAGATGAATGCCATGAGGGATGCTGGACAATGGATGATCAGAGAAAAAGCTCACTTGAGCTTTCAGCTCAGGTGAGCTAAAAACTAAATCCTTGCGTCAACTTTTTATCGGAAGTTCAAAATCTAAAGCATGCAGTGGCGTAAATAGCTAGCTTCAATCCCGATCATAATAATGACAATACCAGTCGTCAAACTCAATGGAGAACTAAGTTACTATGGAAGCAGCAAGTACTTTAGATTTTAGCTGCATAGATCTGACGAATTTGGGTTTCTAGTAAAGTATATAGGTAGCAAATAAAATACCTAGATAAACCCCTCCTACAAGAAATCCAAATAGTGGAATCAGTAAAATGTGTAATTAAAAGAACAAGTACAAAATTTGATATTTTTACTTTTATTTTTTTTTTTTTAAACATCAAATTATGATCAGGTCTGCAGTGTTGTGCCTAAGAATTGAAATAGCAGGGGACATTTAAAAAAATAGAAGGGCTCTGGGCTCTTTGGGACAACCCTGGGTCTAGCACAATCTCTTGATTATGCTATATTTTATATTTATAGTTAATACTGGCTGTATTTAGTCATTCAGAAAAGCCTGATTTAGCTATTTTATCACTATTTTTTTTATAAATGTGTTATTTGTTCAGCATGTATAAAAAGTCACATCTTAGTGCAGTGACAGTACTGAATTCTGAAAACAATGCATAAGGAGTGAAACGGTTCACCACGGTATCGATTCACCGCGGTATTTTTTCTCGGTTTGATACACGGTGCAAAATCTCTGATTTTCGGTTCGGTTCATTTTTCAGTCGGGATCATCATTCAGTCGGGTTTGGCATAAGGTAAAACAGGGTAAAACATTATCATTATTAAGGGAGATCTGTCAAGTTCCCCACAAACCATAAAGCTTGGTATTTTTTTTTAAAATGTTTTTAATTACCTCAAAATGGGTTTACAGAATTTTTTTAGGAAATCAGTTTCTCATCAATTCAGTTTAATATCGTGATATATTAACCCTTGGCCAACTTTGATTGATATTGTTAATTTTACCAATGGCAGGCACCGTATATGATTCACTGATGCAGGAAAGAATGGGTTATACATTTATTTTATTTTTTACAAACAATTTTCAAAATTATTGCCCATCTTTAGCAGGCTGTAGATCTGTAGAAAAGTTGAAAGTACCAGGGTAGTATAGAAACAAGACTCAAGTTTGGAAAAAATGTGTCAGCTTCAGGTATTTTTCTAAATCATATTACCAGTATTTTATTTAACAATTTCCAGCTAAATATAGTGACACTTATATCCTATGTAAATGGTACAAGAAAAACCTATTAATTTTGTTGATTATATAAAACCCAGGTATTTTATCACCAACCATGCAGTTTTACATTTGTTTATACACCTAAGGTATGCTGTAACCAGTCCTTGTGTACCTTGTGTATACACAAGTTAATCACTGAAAACTGTTGATCATCACTGATGATTACCTGAAACTGTGGATATATGCAAGCATGCAAACAAGAAATCCTGTACACAAGAGAGTTCTCCATATGTCATTGAAAATAGATGTATGCTATCATTTCTAACTACACTCTATCTCGTATTTTTATTTTTTACCTCAGATATGCCATATATAGCTTTAAGTATTATGTATTTATAAAGAATTCAAACATTACAGGTGCCAAAATATTAGTTTTAAGATATATGCATTATGAATCAAACAAGAATTGACTTATTATAAATTTTATGTTAAATAACATAATCAAATGTAGCAAAACTGGCATGTACTTGAGAAATATCAAAATATATAAAGTATTAAATCAAAGATTACACAGGTCATCTCTACAGGTCAATTGTTACCTTTATAAGTACGACAAAGTCTCACCTTTATAAATATTGGGGTAGTAATTAGTGCAAGATTTAAACATGTTTGGTTTTTGTAGGATGTTTTAAAGGTTGTACTATATGTAATATATAGGAATGGGCTTGCTCCAAATCTTTATCTGTTCAATGATTGGTCACCATAGGGCTTACAGCTACTTCAGCTAGAATGAGACCTGCACCAAAAAAAAAAAATCTCTGGTCACTCAACCAAAAAATATACCAGTAGGTCAGATCCAGCATCTGAGGCAAGTGTGGTAGTGTATACATCCTGAGATGCATCATCCATGCAAGTTAAGTCACCATAAAGCTTCTAGGGTTGGGCAATAATACCTATATTCTCGTGTATAGCTGTATGTTGACAAAAATTATCCTATTGCAATGAAAGAAAAAGTGAGCAAGCTCACATACCCCACCCTCCCTCAAAACTCGACAATGCAACACATAATGAATGGCACAGTGCATTTTCAATACACAGTATAATTCAAAAAGGGGCATTACTTGCAAAAAATCATCACATCAAAACTTCTTGCATTGGTTTAACCAAATTCTGTGCAGCGGTTTAAGAGGAGTTGCACTAACAAACTGTTCATTTCTATATTCAAGATATGGCCAAAAATCTAAGTTGAAAAGTGCCGAAATTCCCAGAAAAATAAAGGAATCGAAATTTCCTGGTTAATATGCACATCTACACACTGTGTACTAAATATCTATTATCGAAATTCTGTGCAGCGGTTTATGAGGAGTTGTGCTGACAAAAAAAAAACAGGACTGAAGGACTGACTGACTGACTGACGGACGGGTCAAAAACATTATACCTCATGCAACTTGTTGCATGGGGTATAAAATTTTTTTTTTACTTTAAGTTTTTATGACCCCTTCAGGTACGAGTTATATTTTTTATGTATAAAGTTTTGTAAGTTATAGTCATCATACTGCAAAAATTTTAGGACAATTTATTGTTGCATTTTCTTTGTTCAGGTAAATAACAACAACTGACATTGAAATTAAATTTGTATATACTTTTTCATTATAGCAGATAATTAACACAGATGAATTGACAATTTGTCTGAAATTGTGAGTGAAAAATTCTACGCAATCAGATTGGCTGAAATTTTTTGATGACCATAATACATACAAGGGTCATTACCTTGTATACCGTGAATGGCATATAATTCACATATACCGGTAAACCTCAGAAAGACTTACATGTATCTAACTTACAAATGCATGTATGAACCATATTTATAGATTTATTAAGTTTGAATGATGTGTCATTGGTGTACCCTTGGGGTCCTTTGAATCCTTAAAAAAAATGTTTTGTGTATTGAAATAAACAATAAACAGATAATGATGTAATTAAAAAATGCACAAAAACCATATTTACATTCATTAAAGCTGAATTGGATGTCGGTGATAATATGGCTCATTATTGGGGTACTTAAGGACCCTCTATACACTAAACAAAAATGTTTTTTGAACATTTATAAAATTATATCTTATAAAGGTGTAAATAATGTGTCTATCTATTTCATTTTCAACATAGGGAACCTGCCATTCACCCTCAGGAGGAATTTTCAAAGACAACATAGTATTGATGAACACAAATCACTGAACATTGTCTATTTAAATGGAGAAAATAGTTGCAAATAAAATGTTCAATTAATTTATCTTGTTTATCTTGGCCTAATAAAATGTTAAAAATGTTTGAATTGATTACATATAGAGTAATATGCTGTAGAGCTCAATTTCTTCAATTTTCTATCTAGGGGCAGATCACTCTAACTGCTCAAAAATACTATGGAATCAGAACTCTTTAGTGTGCAGTGTATAGAGGGTCGTTAAGGGTATTCTTCAGATACCTAGGCTTTCCTTGGTATCCTTTTTTGTGTATTAAAATATGCAATAAACAGTTACTATGTTATTTACAAAAGC